GTCCTTTATGGGGATCACAGGCTTGCACAAGCACAGTACTTGCTTATTTATTTGATTATTTTTTTTTAACAGCTGTAGGCAACTTGAGTGGACTCTTTCACAATATGCAAATAGCTGCTAAGGGATAGTAAGAAGCTCACTGAATTTAGTCTGGAAAAGAGAAGCCTCATAACCAATTTGGTCTTCAGTAACTTCACCAGGGAAAAGTAGTTCAGAGCTTTTTCATTCTGTGATCCAAGGACATCTCTGCACTGTTTCCAAGGGGGGCACAGAAAAACAGGAAAAACAAGTCTAGCTTCTGTAGACTTAGATTTTCTCCACAGGACTGTTAATCTCTGCAGAAAAATGTTTAGAATTCCACAGACTGAGAGAGGCTGAGTGTTGCTGACTACCCATTGAATGGGCTGAAAGCTGAAGTCAGCCAACAACAAACTGGAAACAAATAGTAAAGTTTTCATTAACTTGAAATAGTAAGAATAATTACCTGTTGGTCTACACTGTATGTTGATGTTTCAGATTATCCCTATTTGATTTATATAATCTTTCTGAAAGTTGTGCTTTAATTCACTGCAATTTGCTGCTGTTCTTGAGGAAAATTCCCCTGCGTTTCTGTGAAGGAGACTATATTAGATTATCAAAATAGTCTATTCTGGCCTTAAAAACAATCTATCTTCAGCTCATTTTTTATCACAGTCTTTGAGCAAGTTGCATACCATTCCTGGGGTGTGGCAGCTGAGCAAATGAGCAAATTTGTTCCATTTCCAGAGACCTGAGCAGGCATTTTCCCCCAGGCTTCAGACTCTCTCCATTTGACCCAGTTGGGAATGAGTGACAGGATTTGGGGCTTCAGACTTAAGTGTCCAAACATGATATAATATTATCACTATTTTTACTGTGCTTTGTCACAGACAGTGTCGTGCCCCTCAAAGCCTGATAGGCCATCTGACAGTCTTATTGTGACTGTGTATCTGTCTGTATTAATCTTTGAATTATGTTTATTTCATTTGGAAAAGACTTATGAAATGGTGATATTTTTGTTGGCAGAATGGAGAATGGCAGAATTTTTAAATAAACGAAATATCCAAGCATTTTAACATTTCTTTCATTAAAATTACAAAAAAAAAAAAAAAAAGACAAAAATTATTTATGAAGATATAGATGAAGACAACATATGATAAATCAAAATGAAAGACACTCTATTTTTATATTTTGATAAAGCAAGATATTACAGGAAAAATTATAAAGCTCAAGGTAGTGTTCCTGGAAGTTTGTGGCTGTGGCAAGGATCTTAAGGTGCTGATTTTTTTTTTTTTTTTAATATATCTGAAATGTTTACAACTTGCAAAATTAAGATTGATTGTATCTGTTTTGCAGATAACAAAAAAGGGAGAAAAAAGTATAAGTAAAACAGAAATAGCAGTGTTAATTATACAATTTACTTTTTAACTTCCCTTAGGAAAAGAATTTATGTATCTGGGAAGATATTTGGGTTGTAGAACATCACCAAGTTTTATTAGTTTTATTGATTTGGCAATAGTATCAAAAGAGATAGCTAAATGAAATCTATGAACTAAATGGCAGAAATGTTTATCTTCTGGTTCTAAAAAAGCAGATGCTTAATCTGAGGTTTACAGTTGATCTAATGTCTAAAAAGCAGTATCAGTTTCATGAAGTGACAAGAGTATCAGCAAAAGTGAAAGAAGAAAAAAAAACCTTCCCTTCTCAAAATAAAGACTGAGAAGATGCAGCCAAGACCATGGCAATCACAGTGTGATCAACCACCCTCCCTGCCAGGTAGACTTGAAAGACTATACAAAGCTGGAAGCATCAATGCAACCTAAAAGAAGATAGCACTGATGGAAGGGAACAATAAGAATTAGGAAAGCAGCGTGTCAGAAGACCATGGCACACTACCCTTCAAGCAAATGAAAAATTAATTACTCAGAAACTAAAGTTCTGATGACTCTTTACCCTTCAAAGTATTTTAAATAGCAGTGTAATAAAGTATTGACCGTGGATGCTTTCACCAAATTACATCCACAGTAGAGCTTTTCAGGAAACAATAAGGCATTTGTTTAGATTGTTTCTACTGTATTGGGCTAGTTAGTTAATTATCATGTAAAACATTTGAAAAGGAAGAAGATATCATGCCCTATGGCTTAGGAGAATGATAGTCATGTACTAAATGATGTAGAGTTAAAATAAAAATTATTTAGTAATAGTGTTGTACACATTTCAGAAAAAGCATATTTACAGACACACATTTTAAGGTCAAGAGAGACCAATAAGGTCAGAAGAAGAAATACGTTTTGATCTTGTCATTAAAAAAAGAATGGATTTTCTGCCAGTTATTTCTGCCTATAGTCATGAATTCCCCTAGAGCAGCTATGGTTAAAAAAAAAAAAAAGAAAGCCTTCCATTTTGTGGTTAAGTAAGCACAGATAAATATGACACTGTGAACAATGACAGTCTGTCTTCTATATCTGTCTAACGTTATCTCCAAAGGTGGGAATAGGACCTGCTCCTCCTCTTGTTCACTCGCTCAGGCCAAATTCCATCCCCTTTGATTTACATGGCTTTGGGTTTTTGTTTGAAATAATGCTGAGTACTTTGGCTCCCATAATTGTCTTTTGAGGAAGTATTTGCATTGTATTCTTGTACCCTGGTTGCTTAATTAGGAGATGTCATACCTTCTAGATACAGTTATAGGATGTTACTACGACTTAGGATGGTCTGTGTTGATAGTAGGACCTCATGTAGGATGCCAAGCTCAAACATCTCTTCTGTGGTTCAATTTATCTTCTTATTCTCCAGCCTCCATCTCTTATGTGTTATAATTATCTTTTTCTCTCAAGGCAGTAGGGAAAACATTTACATACATACACGTGCAACTGTGAAACATTTTTATACCACACTAAATTACAAGCTTCAGTAATGCAGATTAATTGCATTATTTCCTATGCAAATGTCCTTGTAGTCCTTGTATTTTCCTCAATTCACCTGCAAAATCTTTTGTTTTCCCAAAATTTTGTTGAAATTCCCACTTTTATAGTACTGATGTTTTTTGGTGCACAGCCAAAGAGTAAGATTGCAAGTGTACCAGAAGTAGCAGCCTTGCATCAGCAGGTCACTGTTGAAACCCACCCACAAGGGCTGGCAGCAGAGATTGCCTTCTTAGAAGTTGCATTGTTTTCCACACAGTGGGTATGCCACTAGCTAATGGGAGAGAAATGCTGAGAATTATTTGGTTTCTGTGAGTTCTATGAGCCGAGTTAATTGTTTTGTTTCCTAATTTTTTGTAGGTGAATGAAGTGCTACTAATATTGCACTTTGAGTAAGAAGTTAAGGCCAAAGTCATCAAAAAGTTGCTCATCTGATTGATGTACGCTAATTTTATAAGAGAGAACAAATTTAGAATGTGGGTATGTGTAACTCACTTCAGTTCAAAGTGGAAGCATGCAACAGCAAGCTTTGTGCCAATACATTATCTGTTCTTACAGTAATCTTCCAAATAGCTCTTTCTGTAAAATAGAAGTGTTTATATTTTTGTACATTCTAGATATTCTGTCCAAGTTAAATATTTAAATGGACAACATGAAATTAGTGTTTATTACTCGGTCTCCAAAATAAAATATATTTCATACAATGGAAGCATTTGGGACATTTATAAATGTACTATCCATGTCTAAATATCAGTTATTTGACATAATACCTAATATTTACTACATGTTTTCCTTATAAGCTCATTGGGAATGAACGTATTCCTTCACTCTTCCTTCCTTGTTTAGAAAATAACACAAATCAAGCAAAAGGCAATCCTGTCTCATTTCAGAGACAGACAGCACCAAGCTACAGCTGCTTCCTGTAACAGCTTGTTCTCAGCCCTTGTCATCTCACGTAGTTGTGGCTAATTAGGTTCCTACATGTTGAAAGCACCCTAAAGAGCATGATCCAGTTCTGCTGTCCATCCTGTTATCTATACAGTGGCCCAGTGTCAACAAAGAGTGTTAAGATTTGCTTGAATCTCTTGCTTTTGCTCTGAAAAGGATAGCATGTTTCCAGGTGCAAGTATGAAAGTAATTAAATAATTTTTTGGTATCTTTCTACATTTTTCTTCCTTCCTTTCTTTCTGTCCTGCCTCTTCATTTAACCCTAGATGAATATGGCAAATTGTCACTAAGGTAAGTCATTCTAAAAGAGCCCTTTTTGACTCAGGTCAGAAAAGAATTGTTAGGGTCAGCAGTTTTCCTTGCCAGGGATGTTTACAGGGGCTGTTGTGGCATGATTCTCTAGAACTTTACTCTGGATTCTAAGACTGCAAATTATTTGTAGAACATTAATGGATGGTTGTCTGTGGGCTGAAAAGCTGTCCGATGTTCCTGCTGATCATTTGATTAAGAGGCTTATGACTTGGAATTAGCATCAGTAATTAGATCCAGAAGCAAGCATGGATACACCAAAATGTACACAATACTAGAGTGACATATTCCTAATGCTCCTTCTTGCCTGCTTCAAATCAATCAAATGAGGCTTGTGTGGCTGTACTTTTCTTCAGTCAGAGTATGAATTTCTATAGGAAGTTCTTAGTCTAAAAGAAGAAGGTTATCTTTGGAATAAACATCACACTGAAAACTTTCCAGCCTAAGCCTTTCATTAATTTCTCTTTATGTCACCTTAACATATTTAAACTCTGTAAAAATTATTCTGCAAAAAGTTCTTCCCGCATGTAATTTTTCCTCAAGTGAAGTGCATACCTTTCAAATTATAAACTTCCTACATGTCTTAGGAAAATCTTCACTGTATAAATAATTGAACTCATCTGCTGTGAACACAAGTATTCTTTCTCTACCAGTCTAAAATACATGCCTAAATACACATCTTGTACTTAGTGCTTTAAATAGTAATTACCCCCATGAAGTCACTGGAAGTCCATAAAAGGATTTGACAGTTTCCCCACAATCTTTCAGTGAATGTAGTAGTAGCTGGGCTGTGTAGTGCTACATCCACTGATAATTCAGCAGCTGAGGAACTCAGTAAAGCCTGCTCCAAACTTCTCAGCTGTTGACAGGCTTGACTTGCTGAGAACACTGGTTAAATATAGCACAAGCGAGCTGAGCTCAACAAAGTCATTGCTGTAACACTGTGTGAAGAGACCAGAAGAGGGGAAATACAATCTGAGAACTAAACTGCCAAAGCCTAACACCACCTAGCAACAGTTGAAAAAACTTTTAAACAAAAGTCTGGGTGAGACACAGACAAAGTATACCTCCTACTTCTTCTGCCTGGGATTTCTGCGTGAAGCAACTCCGGTCCTTAGTACTCTGCCCTGTTTCCTTCATTACTTCAGCTGCTGGTAGACCCAGAAAAGTGGGAAAAGTTCCTGTCTTTGTGTTCTCTTGGGCTGGATCAGGCTACTGCTGTGGGACAAGCTACTGCAATCTTGCAGTGCAAAGGATATATCCTAAGTTCCTGCTGACAGGTAAGACTGAACTAACCATTCCGAGGCATTCTTTTTACAAGTTGGTTTTTTTTTTTTTTTTCCTAGTGATTATTGTCTGCTTCCTTCTATGGTCAATCTTCTGCATGATTTGGAAACTTCAGTAGGTAGAAGCTGGAATAAACATTTTGGATGTTTACTTTTATGCTTTTGTCACAGAAAAGCTTTGCTCAAATAACTTTCACTGTTCTTAGAGCAAGCAGAATCAAGTAGCTAGTAGTAATATGAAAATAGTGTGCATATTTTGACTTGTATCTTTCTTATATCTGCTCATGTGCTGACAGAAGACAAACCAAGCTTTAAGAATAGAATACATATCACCCCTTACCAATCACAGTTTAGCAGCTATTAAAAAGCAGTGACAGCATGTGACAAGTAAGAGAAAATAGCAGTTCGGCAACTAAATTAAGTGAATACTTTGTGACCTAGGACATTTGTTCTTTTCGTTTCCTTAACAACTCCAAGCATGCAGGCACACCTGGAACCTTTCATACTACCGTTGTGACAACAGCTCTTGGTTCTTCCTCTTGCACTTATTTATATCAATTTATATTTATTTATGTTTGACTGAGTAGCTGCATAATGCAACCTTCCTAAACTGACCTTACATTTACTATAACCCAGTATGCTTGAGCTGGGGTATTGCTGTTAAAGTGTTTCGTTTAGGAACATAAATCAGAAACCAGTTCTCAGATCTTTTACCCCAACAGCACAATAGAAGCCTGTTTATCTGTTTGAATATCCTATGGTCACATAATGGTCGTGTAATTTAAGGGAGGAATTGCTCCGTATGATTTGCTTTGACTAAACTAACAAAAGCTGTTTGGTCAATTGAAGAATGAATTTCCCCCCATCTTTTAAAGCCATTTTCTCCAAACAAAATACATTCAGTACCCATGATTTTCTAAAAGATGCAAGGATTATTAATGTAATACAAATTTAGTTATGAAGGCAAATATTTAAAAAATGCACTTAACCCTTGCAAAAACCCTGTTTGCAGATTTATGTGGAATTGTCTCAGCTGAAATATATTTGTCCTAAGAAAGGAATGGATTGAGTCTGTACTGACTGTCTGTAGTTTGACACGCAGTTTGTGGACTCGGGCTGCCTCAGGTACAGGAGAAGGTCTTGCTTTAGCTGAATAATTCTAGGTTCATGCCTGCATACAATATAAATCACATTAATACCACATTGAGGCAGTGACATGCTTACAGATTGGATGAAAATACAATGCTCTGAAGTAACTTTGACTTGGTGTTTGGGAATGTAACTGCCTATGAAAAAATAAGATAAATTAGAACAGAGAAAAATTCTTGAAAGCAAAAGTCATATAGTTTGCATTTCATTTCAAAGCCAGGGGCACGCTACTTAAGCACTAAATAGGAATGCATTTTGGTGGCCATGATTTAATGTGATAATGATTACTGTGGAATTACTACAGCACTATGGTATCCCAAGTCTGAATCTGAGAAGGAAAGTTTGGTATTACTTTTTAATATAGACACATCGTGAGAAAGTTCTGCTTTTCATAAAAAAAAAAAGCTGTACAATAAGAAATAAAGCTGAGATGATATGATTTGTGCAGTTCTTGTAATTCTGACTTTGAGTAATGTTACTGCTTTTTATTTTCAATGAATTAATTGGCAAATGATAAAAACTATGGAGAAATGGCAAATTTGACCTTCTGAATACATTTAAATGACAAAATGTGGGAAAATGTGTTTGTAGTTGTTGCTCGGTATAACATATGGTTTTACAATTTTAATTTTCTTGCACAATTTACAATCAGCCAAGCTCTTAACTGCTAACAGCAAATTTATTAGCTGCAAAATTGTATCAAATGAAAAGACTTTTGAACCTTCTGATAGCAACTTCTAATTCTAACACATGGAGTTGTGATTCTATGTACATCTGTCTTCCTTTCCATTTCAAAATGGAGAAGGAGGCTAAAATTACTCTTCTCAACAGGTGTCCACAAAGAGGCGCTGAGATTTTCCAATCAAATCTCTGGAATATGCAATGTGGCTATTCAACAGATGGCTTCATTTTTGAAGAATAGCCAATTCTACTAATGATTACTGTGAAACCAAGCTCAATTTTATATCAAATCAAAAAGTCATTACGGTTTTGGCAATATTCTCCTTTGCAGAGATTTTCTTGGAAGACAAGCACACTCATTTATTTTTCCTATTATATTATTTTGATTTTGTTTATATTCCCATAGCTGTGCAAAATGAATGATGCCATTCATGGTGCTAAAGACTGTTTCCCTCCCATTGAGAATCCTCTTCTAAGCTCAGCCTGTGTCTCATTCTTTCACCTTCATAATAAGAATACTCCAATTTATGACCTCTTTTAACCAATCTAGTCACAGTAAAAGTCAGCATCTAAACTGAGTAATTTGTCATCACCTCAGTTATTCGATCTCTTTATAGAACGTCTGGTTCTTTTTAACACCAATTTCTGAGACTTGAAGTTCATCTTCAAAGCTCACCACTCTACTGTCGTGTTTTTTCCTTAAAGTATGGTATGACCAGGTCTTGGTGTTCAATAATTAATAGGTAAATTTTCTGCTTTCTCAAGAGCATTTAACAGAAGATATCATCTCTATTACTATCCAATTATTATTTTTTTTTCTCAAGAGACATTTTACTTTTTCTCTCATTTCCTGTTTCTTTTGTTCCTTTCTCAAGACTTGCTGTTGCAGCTTGCCATACTGTTTTAATACATAATTTGAATTTGGGGCAGGGATTTTGCCCTTCTACGTATCTAAAATGCCATTTGGAGATTAGAGCTATAATGTTTGTGAATACTCCAGATGAAACAAAAAAACAAATTAGAAGGAACTTCAACTATCCATATTTCCCATTTTAACAACAGTATTTAATATTTAAAGCCTGAAATAAGAACTGAAATCTAGAAAAACATGTATGTGACAAGATAGTGCTGTTACCTGCTAAAATTTGAGCACTTCTTTACAAGAAGCACAAATACCCGTACTTTTCAGTTTTGTCATCTTATTCTGGTTCTTTTGCTCATTCGCTTTTTCTCTCATTTTGCCTGCTTTTTCTGCTGAAAGTTGTTTCCTAATTTTATGTATTATACCAGCAAATTTCAGAAATCATTTGTTGCATTAAACTGATGAGAAGTTGGAATTACAGGTTATTTTGATACTGGCCTTATAAATAATAAGTATTTCTTAACCTCTCTTCTTCTCAATTAGTAGTTGGTTTTTGTACCAAGTTAGTGATACTGGAAACAAACTAACTTATAACACAATCCTGTAATTGTTCTTTGAGGTACTGGTGTCCAAAGGATAAGAAAAATTGTTCTTATTTCCTGTTCAGGAGAGGCAGTGGGAGTCTCTAGCATTGCAGATTGTGTGATGCCTAATGGATTTGTGAAAATCTTGTCTCAAGTTTAAAGTTGCTTAGAGGTTTGGGGCTTGTTTGTGTTGTATTTTTTTTAATCTCTTCTTTCAGCTTCTGCAGATAATCTGCATTTTCTACATTACTTTTAATTCTTAGTATCGTAACACAACAAATACTGTAATCAATGCAAACAGAGTCTTTCCAAATTGGCACAATTTTTTTTTGTTTTTGTTTTTGTTTTTACACTCAAGATGGCTTTGCCTATCACACTCATTGTGCTTCAACTGGACTATAAATCTTTTTCAAAGGTGATATGTAAAATTGCATCGATTGTGGTTGCTTCCAAAATGATTTACACACTTTGCAAATACAGAGAATGAAAGAATTCGTACCATTAAGAGCATATATCCTAAAGGCACAAGTAGATGTAAGAGAAGAAATGCTTTTTGGCATTACAGAATGAATTGCTGAAGGAGGGGGACAAACACATGTGAAGTGCAGGGAAATAGGCTGGAGCCTGTAGTTTTTCCCTTAAATGGGCAACTCATCTAGTTGCTGTTAGCTGACACAAGCCAAGGGGTGTGTGAATCTAAGATTGCTGAACATTATCTGAGTAAGTTTCATTTCAAAGATGATAAAACTGCAATTAAAATATGAATGATCTGTGATGTGAACAAACTCCCTTCAGTGTAAAGCAGTGGGTTTTCAAAACATGAGCAAACGCCTCAATGGATTTGCAAAAAACTATCTGGGTTTTATTTGTATGCTTTAACAGTTCTCTAATACTGTAAAGATTGCTTTGATTTATATACTTTAATGGTCCTTTAATACAATAAGGTATGCTTTCTTTGCTTTTCTTTTTGAGGGAAATGGTGTGAAAGAGTATTACATTTTGTAATTTATCCTGTTCAAAAATTTCCAATATTTTGGAAGCTAAATCAATTTTCTTTTCAAAGTTCACAGTATTTAGGAGCTTATAAGTTGAGAAGGTGGGAGAGATTATCTTGCTAGTGTGTTATGGCCATGGATAACAAGAGATACAGCTTCACTAACAAACGTGGGTTTTTCTGTTTTTTGTTTTTTGTTTTTTGGTTTTTTTTTTAGTAGATTCTACTGCAATAACAGAACAGGAATTTTTAGGAACTGGTTTTAAGGCTGCTCCCATTAAAAAAATGTAACTGAAATGAAAGGTCATGTGTCCTTGGTACAAGAATTTTCATTAGAGTTTATCAGACTGCTTGCATTTTTTCAGAAAATATAAACCAAATGAATGCACCAGAAAGCAGGAGATGCTTAACATCAGTGTAATCGAATTGCTGCCAACTTGCCTTGTTTATCTAAGAGATCTCTGTGAAAAGAAGGTCTTTCCCACACATGCATGAGTCATAGAATGTAATGGGGCTAAGCAGACTCACTTCAGCTTTCTAATGCACACATATCTAACAACTAATATCTATCACACATCTAAACTAACCTGTTTTAGTGCCTGTTCCTGTAACTAAATGAGATCCAGCCTGACAACAGGAAAGAGAAGTGGCGGTGAGTTCATGATGCTATTTCAGTGCAATAACCTAAATACTTAAGGAAACGATGCAATTTCCATTTATTAGG